GTAAAGCAGAAATCTGCCCCTGGGAGGAAGCTGCATCTCTGCCAGGGAGAGGAGCAGCCCAGGGTAAGTGGAGCCTCCCAGCAGGAGGAGCGGGTGCCTCCAAAGCACCAGAGAAGGGGAGCAGAGAACTCGAGGCCATCTGCCCCTGGGAGAGCCTGGGCACAGAGGAGACCTCCCCAAAAACTGCACCAGGGAAGGAACCCTCCGAGAAGTCCGACAGCGTGGAGAGCAGGAAATCTGATATTTGCCCCTGGGAGGCAGCAGAACCCTCTGGTGTGGGGAAGGAAAGCCTCAAAACAGCCACGTACCCACAGGGAGCTGCCAGAACATCGGGGGCAGAAGCCAGCACTGGGTCTCCACCAGCCCTGCTGAGAAGAGCCAAGGGCAGAGCTGCTGGTGAGGCTGGGCACAAGCCACTGTGCCGCATCTCCCCGGGCATCCAGCCCCCGGGGGGCTCCAGGGCAGAGCTGCTGCCCCGGGGGGTGAGCAGGAGCCTCAGCACAGCTGAGGTTTGTCCGTGGGACACAGAAGAGGCTCCTCCAGTGCCTGAGAAGAGCAGCACAGAGATGAAGAGACCCCCCGAGGTGTGTCCGTGGGAGATGGAGAGTGTGGATCCCCCGCAGGGATCCCAGCAGGGCAGATCCAGGGCAAGCCCCCAGGATGGAGGCAGGGGTGGGAGTGAAACCCAACCTGATGTCTGCCCCTGGGACCACGAGTAGCTCCCTCTGTCCAGCCACCAGCTGGGTTCAGACACAGTTTTCCTCAACAGAAGGTCTTGATGAAGGTCTTGAAGGCTGCTGTCTGCCTGCAGAGCCCAGACAGGGACAGAAGTGAGGAGCCGGCCCGCCCCCCGGGTGCGGCCCCCCAGCCAGCCAGGTTTTGGGGACAGACACCATGAGGGGACAGTTACCATAAAGCACTCAGCCCAGGAGGCCCCCTGCCAACCCCACCCCTCACTTCCCTGCAGGTACCTGGCCCAGCAGAGGGTCCCCCTGGGCCAAGGGGCACCCGAATAATC